GATTTCAGAACGCTCAGGTTTGTCTGAACCCTTCCGCATTTATCCTTGACATAGTTTTAAGTTATAAAGAAATTAACATACCCCGTTACTTTTGACCATACGCGAATAGGTCAAGAAGTAGCGTTTGCCTAAAGTTTGTAATCTTCAGCTGCCTATTCCCATAGAACTCTTAGGTAACGAACAATACGATGGCACTAAGGTAAAACCGTTTCAACGTATTAAGTGTGATACTGATCTGGAGCCAATAGGATCAACTGCGATAGGTACTGACTTATCTGTTTCCTATGTACAGCTGATATGAGGATTGGAACTGACAATAAAATTGTTATTTGGTTACATAGCTGTCTGACTGATAAGTAATTCAGGATCAGGGTACACGGTAGGTCGAGTTCAACGGATGATTGTACATAATGAATCTCGCTTCATTTCTACGCATTCAAATTTAACCTCAAAGATATATTCCCTTGTTGATAAATTAAATGCCGATGGTTGAAACTATATACTGCACAATGGCTACGCAACCGATAGCAGAGAACTTGTACAGTTCTCAATAAACAAAGTTGCATCGTGCAACCGTATATGCATTTTGTTATCAAGGTAACACTTCCAAAGTTCAGCCTATCCGTTTATAGAATTTGAAAAGGCTCTTTTTAGTCCATTCCTAAACTTAGGTTCACATATTAATAAGGCTGTAACTGTTCGATATGTAATATAAGGTTGCCTCATCCTAAAAAGGCTGACGCACTGGATATTCGTGGTTATGTACACCTTTGACAAATACATATATACAATTCTAGTGATCATCATCGTAGAATACAGAGTAAAATTACCAATATAAAAGCATTAACCAGCAGCTCGGAATTTCATAACCGGACAGTGGTCAGTGTGATGCCAACCATCGTGCTTGGTACATCGCGTCCATTGACGAACATCCTTCAATACGTTAGTAACCTACAATCAAAGCAACTACAACTTACCCCATTCTAAAAATTATCCGTTAGGGCACCAAGTAAAAACAGAGAGGGATCGATCTGCATCATTTCCTCCCCGCGATGATAGATTAGTTTCTCGTAGGGTACTATTTTTGGATAAATGAAGTCTACGTTAAGAATTTTTCGTAAAAAAGCCCGTAGAATTAATAAAGTAGAAAATCTTTAAAAAATACATCATTTACAAAATCAAGCAGTAAAAAAACTATTTTGTTGTTAGATGTTCCGAGACTAGCTATATATCGAACGACCTCGTCGGGGCTATCTTGAAGTTGAAAATAACTTATGCAGTTCTTAGCGAGAGTGTCGGAGTTAGTTTTCGTTGAAATCTGTCTGTTTCTTCACTCAGCTCTGTGCTGTTTCCTCTCAAGACATCTTGTCAAAGTTTTACCACCGTCTTTTACCACAACTCAGAGATTCAGCGCTGCACTACTAAAACGAATGAAGAGGGGCCGTTTAAATCAGTTGAATCCGCTTCACCCCCGTATTTTCAGCACTTAAATGTTTCAAATATGAGTATTTAATGCCAACGCGAGTTTCACTTGTTCCAAGCGAAAAAGCACGCCTAACTTGTCCTTTTTACTGAGCTATAGCATTAATAAAAGAAAAGGTCGATTCGAAATTTTGACAGAGGCCATAAGTCTGAATCAGGTTATTTATAGGATTTCATTCAACTAATTAATGCATGTATCCAGTAAGAACTAAAAGCTATAATTTTCTAGGTGATTTTAAATACCTCCTAAATAAGCTGGCGTACGATTAGCCCTTTCAAAGAATTTTAGCTGTACGGTAACCAGAGGCAATCTGAAAGTCCTATAGTTGTCGAATAGTGCCATAGATGTGATAATGATAGTCTGTGTAGTTTACAATAGTACCAAGTAGGTTTGCCGGTATAAGGCCAAATTCAATATGCAAGATCTATGCTACTCGAAATAACGGCACGGCGGAGCACGTATTATCATTGAGCGAGACAAGGAACCGTGCTTTTCCTACTATTTCTTCTCTATTTTCAAAGCCTTAGGGTACACGCGCCTTCTATCGTTTTCGCTATAATGGAAATAATAATATGGAGTTGTTTGCGGTACCCCTGCTGCTGCTAGCTGGCTGATTGCTCGAAGCGATGGAACTGATTGTGACAGTGCTGTATGTGTGTGTATGCGCTGATAGTCAAAAGAGTCAGGAGCTACAACCGGTGGCAGCAGCAGAGGAAAGGAAGCTAAGTGCCTAGAATAACCGCCATATAGAGCCCGGCAGCGGCACCGCGTCGTCCTCGTTTTCGTCCACCTTCAGGTTTTTTCTCCTCGTCGTTTAGGTCGCGCCAAGCCGAGGACGCTGGGGCAGCTGTTCCTTTCCCCTTCTCATAAAAAGCAGAAGCCAAGTGCACATGCCTTCGTCCAAAGTCGAGGAAAGAACACTGAACGGTGAATGCTGCCCAAGCGAAGTGTGGTTGGAACAATGAATCGGATATGAAAACTTTTCAATGCGTTGCCCTTGTCTTTCCGCTCCACCCTCGAACACATCGAAAAGGCGGCATAGCGGCAGCAGGAGCCTTTGCTTCCAACAGGACGGGCATAAGTGGAGCCTAACCAGGGGTATCGCTGCAAAAGCGCGCTATCCCGCTACTATTGGAACACAGGTGGCGGTACGTTGATTCCAATCTATAGGCAGGTGGCAACGGCCTTAGCTCCATCCCCTAGCTGACTAGGTATGGCCGAATAGCGGTATTCACGCATCTTAGAGAGCTGCTCAATGAACACCTTTTTCTAGTCAAAAACAAATGATTGGACTGAATGTTGTACGCCTATATGTCGTCCAGTGTTTGCTCTCCAGCAAGCGACTAGTAGGGTCGAACGTAAAAATACTGTATGGGTTATTAAAAATAAGCGACGAGATATGTTTGTGCACGATCAAAGAAATAGGGGACCATTAGGAAGATAGCCAGTTAATATGGCTCACTGTGATATGGCATACTTCGGGGACGAGTCATAGAAGGTCGGTGGCCAGAATGATAAGCGGAAGTCGAAATCAATTAAAGAAACACCAGAGAGTCATTTGATAGTGATGGGCGACGTCAGAAGGGGATCATCATGCTGAACAATAATAATGTTGTTCAATATTCTGATTTACTAGTACCTATGATATGCCACTACGACCTGTTAAATATGCTTCTCAAGCACCAGCAGAGAATTTGAATGACTGAACGCCTGTACCGTAACAGTATACATATTAGTGTTCTTAATGCGTCATGCTGCTTTCTCCCAACGCTTTCTGCAGGCTTCATGGTATCGCACATACGACTTAATAGACAATGGGCACAATACTTACTCTGTGCCCATTGTCTCTGTTTGAAAAAAACCGGGTTAAAGTATGGGTTTCTTATGCAAGTCACACGACTCGGCACTAAGTGGCTCGCTGGTCAGACCGGTGCGTAAGAAAATCGTTAGCTTGTTTCAATTAGCGCCTAACTGAAACCGACGAGTGACATAGAAGATATCCTAACGGTTTCCAAAAAGCATAGTACAATACCTGTAGAGTTTCGTGGCGTCATCCGACTACCGTAGTCCCATTTTCCTTCGCCGTCACTACTTCACTGATTCTAAGCAAAGCAGGTAGTCGCGTGGAGGAACGCGCGCCAATGTAGCAACTTTTCGGCGAAAAGCCCCTAGGCGAAAAGCTTTCCATCAACACCTACTTTATGGATGTCTTCACTATGATCTCACCTCATCCCATATAGTGCATTCCTTGAGACGCTAATGTTGCGTTCTCGTTCATGCGTTTCTCCTTTTCCTTTCCTGCCCCTTCACTTCTCCTTGGGGAGCTTTAGGTGAATGACACACAGCCTTCGATACAGTTTTATCAACAACTACCCTTAATACCCCTAGGAGCCTGACAAGCGCTGGTGGCGTTGGCCTCCGCTAGCTACGACTCCTCAACTACGACAGTAGAATAAAAAGAAGGATTCCTAGCTAGTGTACAACCGTTTGACACATACGAGAAGGTATTAAAGTTATGAAAATGGGGTTCATGTAAGCCGTGTGTTTTGTGTGCCAAATTCATTACTCACTGAAACTTTAGCCCTCGTGAAGCTTGCGTAAAGGACTATCGAAACCTCAAGACGAACTATAAACGTCATTATTCGGTCATCTTGCAAGCTAATAGGGAGATATAATCTTCTTCATAACCTCCTACAGGCTACAGCAAGCAACAGGCACAACTGTTGCTTAAGTATAACGTATAAGGGATTATTTTAATAGTAAGTGAATACCATATGGAGTTTCTGAATGGAAGGTCATCGATTAGGATTGAAAACAGTAATGGAAAAAATTGTGTTTCTATAAGCGAATTAGGTGGTCTGCTTCGATCTTGCGCTTTACCGTGACATGAGCACTTATCATGACATAATTCCTCTCCAGTCCCACATCAACCCATTGTATAGTTGGAAATGTATAAAATGCTTTTCGTTATTTGCAGGCCTACAGGACGGTTAACCCAAGTCGAAATTGAGACGCTCTTCAATTTCTGTTACTCCGAAGCGATCTAGAGCAATTGCCGTCCGCGGCACAAGTGTCCAAGACTAGGGCATAATCAACAATCATTTCGAGACCCAAAAATTCAGTTAACACTAGGTTTCATTTTTGTTTCCTACCCCAATCACGCTTTCACTGGGTGACAAATATCTAAGTGGTAAAGTAAAATAAATGTGTTTATCGTTATGGCATTACGTATATGCCTGATAAACTCAGGATAAACATTAGCCTGCCCAATCACTATCATACAATATAGATATTGGCATAACGTTTAAATTTAACCAGGATGCTGACTTCGGAATGAAAACACTTCATTGTAATTATTGTTATGCTCAATCGTATACATGCAAAATGGCGGATTTCTCGTAGAAAACCATTGAACCAGGAATTGAGAGTTGTCTGATATTCTGCATGTGTGCTGTCGTCTTCGAGGCGAAGGGTGGATTTACACAAAATATTGAAACAGGCGTAATTTAAATTTCAGGAACGTTCGTGGCAGCCTTCTGCGTCCTATGCGGTTGTCGTACAGAATACTCAAGTAGGGGACGCGCATTCGCGCTTAACTTGCTCGCAGCCCTTATCCAAACTTTGACTGCGCCCTTCGTCGTGGGATGGGTGTGGAGCATCATGTGGAGCGTCACGTGCGTCAACATTTCGCGTAAGTAGTATGACATATTGATAATCACGCTTGCTCTGATCACTTACGAATCAGCTTCATCGTAACCTGAATTTTCTTTCAATCCAACTGTGGCTTTATTATTTATTTTCTTCATCATACAATCTTTGTGCAACGCGTAATATAGAAATTGCCCTGTATAGGACTATCTGTTTGTCTATCTAGAGCGGGGTCTTTGAAGTCGAAATTGGCTTATCATTAGCGTTGAAAATAACTCTGATATGGCGAAGTAGAGAACATTACACGGCTATACGCGTCTAAGGCTCGTCTATTCTGTGGTCTGTCAATATCATTCATTTATTTTTTAGAAGACATAAACTGAAGACATCTCTATCGTTATCTCATACATCCTCACAAGATGGGTTTATATGGATCAAAGGGCTACACTGACGTCTGCAGTGCGGCTCTCGTGGTTGTGGATGACTCTAGTGCAAATTATTACTTATGGTAAACTCTAATTTATTAGCATTGTAGTACCTGAATCGTGCGTTGTACTAACAAAACGGTCGAGAACTATTTCAAAAACAGTCCTACTTAATATGTGACAGCGACATGTAGTGCAACAATTGCAAGAACTTGACACATTTAGGTAAAATAGTTATTAAGAACTTCTCTGTACAATTAGCATGGACGTCATACTCGAAATGCGATGGTCCGCATAGCCATACATCACTCTGCTTCATATAGCCCTCAGAATGGTCACGTAATATAGGCTACATCGGTGCCTTCCATAAAACGTCATTTCCTGTCTTTGAAGATATTCCGTCGCATGCCATATTCACGCGATTCTTCTCAATACTTCAGCATCAGCTCTGCATCTATATCTCGGTAAAATACCTAAATATTTAACTGAGTTCGAATGAAACATTCACTAGACATGTGCAAAACGTTTTGATAGGACACATAACACAGAGCTGTTCGAGTAAATTTAACTTGATTCAAACTAACTTAGCTCCCAGAAAGGAAGGCCCGTTTGTTCGCGGGAGAGAGTAACAAGAAACCTTCAACTTGGAAGCTTAGCTGTCGTCTCATTACAGAGAAATCTTTATTTTCCAGTTAATTCCGTTATGTACAGGTGCAACAATGTTGGGAATTATGTCTGTATTAAACGGTTGTAACACTCGAATAGCAAGTTACAGACGGTGTCTTAGCAGATGGCACGCCTTCTATGTACACAGTGTGGCGAGGGGCAAGATATATTGTATAAACCTTTTTTAGTTAGCAGTCTAGTAAATGCCACCGCTACCGCCACCCAGTCGTCGGGCAAACGATTGCTGCTATGCGTTGCGTCTTCGCCGATTCTGTGCACTTATATGTCTTCTGGTTCCGATGACATCGGGGCCGTAGTGACAGAAATGGCGGTGGGCGTCACACGTTCAGTACCCTGAATAAAAACCGGAGAGGTTGAACGATAGAAGACACATGCGGTCGTGTTAGCCTACGTATGTGTAAGACCGAGCCGTTTATAAATGAGGTAAGCCACAAAGACGATAATAATCCCTTAGGGGGCAGTTATCATCGTTCAGCTACGGGGGCACCACTTGCAGATATAGGTCAGTGGTATAAATTGGACTCCCAAGAGGCTCGACAAAAGCGCTTTTTCTCACAAGCACGTACACTTCTCATGTACTTGTCGGGCCTACCTTTTCGTGTGCCTGCATCAGTATGTCTTGTGGGTTCCATATCGAAATCATACAAGGCTGAATCCGTTCCAGTCCATCCAAGATTGGATCAATTAGGACTTTCTAGTAATTGCTAGCAGTTCGTCGATGACTTTTTAGCATCGAGCGGATCGCTATTCGGACCCAGTACGACCATGAGCCTATAGAATCACACCCTCTGACTCATCCCTCGTGCTCACGGTTAAGTCATTAAATACACGTCAGCGAAGTCAAGGTTGCGGACAGCGCCGCCTAAAGCATTCTGTTTGGCAGAATTACCTAACTAACTGGCTCTTGTTTGTCTGCCTGCCCGCCCGCCCGTGCTCACAAAAGCCCGCCATCTTTATGGCTGTATAGAGCGACATAAATACATATTGCTAGTAGCGCCGTTTTTGCACCGCATTCGTAGTGCTATCAAGTGGCGGCTTGCGTGAGTACGCAGTTTTTTCGTGGTTGGCTTCGTCTTAGGTTGACCGCTAACGTTGAACACTACGTATTTCAAGATCATTGTTTTGTTTATCTAGCTTACGGCATTTCAGTTGGCCGTGGATGAACGCATTGTATCATAGTTGTGAACACGAAGTACGCTCAATCGCCATGCGTCAATTTAGGGCTTTCGAGTGCTCTAAAGAACATATTGCCTGAATTCTATTTTTATTTCACAAAGTAATATAACCTACTCGCAACAGAGTGAAAATAACTACTATTATAATGCAATTGTCGAAACTCTATGACGGTTTGTTTTTCTTAGAAAATTTGAATTTTTTTATCAATGACATCGTCAACTTCTAAAGTCGGTAAAAGAAGCTGCCCACGCTCCCGAGTTACAACCTCGGTTTACAACACTGCTGATCTAGTCAATGAAGCCGGATGATGGACTCGTTACGAAACGTCTCACATTTGTTTATTGGTTCCATAAGCACGCCTCCGGGGCAGTCATTTTATAAGGTCTCTTTTGATCTCAAAGGCATTGGAGTGTGATGTGTTTCCATGGCGCTAAGCGAGGCTTTTTTATGCTAAATCGCCGATGCTTTGCTTGCCCGTGCAGACTTTAAGAACTTGTTAAACGTTTCTATTCTTGATATAGAATTATATAGGGGCAGCTCGTTTTCAACTCAGTGATCCAATATATGTATATTTAGTCGCAAAAAGTTGTATCGGTATTCCGGATGTGCATTAGCCATCGAAGATGAAAAAATGATGGAAACATTTTTAAGTACTCGTGACGGTGTTCTGATAATACAGTGATTATAGCGAGAAATGCTTTACGCTATGTGATATTGATCATCATTTTTGGGGAAAGCTCAAACGTTGCAACCCGTAAAAAAAGCAAAAGGTCCCGTTCTATCCACATTGTATCATACTTAGCAGCAAAAGTTAACAAGCTACTTCAGTGTTGCTTCCCCTTTCTCTAATGAGGGTATTTCTCCTTTGTGAAATTTTCAAATTGCTGGAGGGGTTCGTTAATACGGTGGTGCTGGAAGCTGCTAGAAAGATTCCAAAGAATGAAGAAGTCACACTTTTTAACATACGACATAAATGACTTAACTTAAAAAAACTCTCACTTGTTATCCCTTAGATGGATTTCTGCTCCTTTGAAGTTGATGACATGCTTGCTGCCTAGCTAGACATTATTTTTATCAAAAATTCAAATTAAAAACATTTTTAGCTTTAGAATAGCATTTGATCATGTTCAAGTTATTTACTAACGATAATATGACGAAAACGATTTTATATATCTATATATATATAATTTAAATTGTTACTAATACATTTAGCTATGCACGCTCAGTCACGGAACAGTGGGCCTGACACTTATTATTATTATTATTATTATTGTTATTAGCTATTTTGATTATAGCTTCGGTTTTTTTACGTGCGCGTGCAATTCGAGAGTTACATGAGGGGCACTATGTGGCATCTAGTAAGAACTCATATTATCGATTCCGGTACGTAATTAATTGTCCGCTTATTGCACGCTCTTTTTATTCGTTTCAGTAAACAAGGATCTACAAGCGATGATGCAGCAGCAGAGTGCAACGGAACCCGCAGTGCCCCTATGACAACCCCCCGCCAGCCTGCCTCCGCGCTGCAATGGTTAATTTCTAACAGAACTTAAACAACGCTATCAATGCAATGTTAAACAAGCAAACACTAAGCACCTAGAGTGAATTCACCAAAGCACAAACCGGATAAGTTCTGAAGCCCAAATACAATCACTTTAATAATACATACTAAGCGCGATATTTGTGAGCAATGCTACAAATACTCACTATTCGAGAGCGAACCAATCAACCAACAACGCTTTCCACAAATGCTTCCAGTTGTACCGAAAGAAAGGTTGGATATATTGACGAGAGCCTGAACCAAGAGCATTTTATTTAATAATGACTTCTTATAGAACGACAACACCTAGCCCGACATCATTTTGCAGGGCGTTTCCGGAAATGATCACAGCCATGAGAACTAATGTGAGTCTATTCACTTGCTCAATACGGTGACTCTGTATTTTCTATAGCTTGCGTGCGTCTGCCTTCAAGTCAATTCTCAATGCCTAGTACCCATCTGGTATCACTTAGGTACATAAAACAAATATAGTAGTCAGTGCTGCTGACCATCCTATCGAATATTACAATCTATGGCGGTCGTCTCTTCAGCTGAAATAAGCACAAAAAAATAAAAGTGTCCTGGCTAAACTCGATTCCACGACCATTCGAATTACAAAAAAACGTTGTATACTACAAGTATACTGGAGGCCATTTTTTAAAATTAATCAGCATATGCTAATGTCTACTGAGAATAGGATGCCGTATTACGTTGAACAAGCTTTACCTGCTCCGTCATTTGTTTTGCCACACCACCGCTCAACTCCCTGTTCCCAGGCGTCTTTTGTCATACAACCAGCCACGGCGTTACCGTCTTCCATTAGCTATGTTTAAGCAGCGCTGGCCACCGAAGCTCGCGAGTACTTACACAGACGGTTCTCTTACAGTAGAAAGGGGCAGCAACGCACATGTAGGTTGCCTCACTTTATTGGCTGGTTGACGACACAAAAAGCTCCCACACTTCCGGGGATCATTTTCCCGGCCTAACAGGATAGCCATTTACTGACATTTCTTCAGCGACCGCGATGACAATGGAGCCGTATCAGCGGCAGCTGCAAATAGGAACGGCTTCAATGTCGGTGGAACCGCTAGCGAAGCCCAACCGCGCCGACGTGCGTCGGCCGCCGTCGCGGCGGAATTTTCAGGGATGCGTACAACGATAAGCGCAGGACCCAGGCTTTGCTAAGCCAGTGCTAGGCTAACGGTTACGGGTATGGTATGCGATACTAACGGGGTGGAACAGAGAGTATGCCTTCCTTTTCTCGACCCTAAATCAAACACAAAACACCACACATGGCAAACGGACAAACGTCTCCCAGCTCTGGGCAGGTTGGTCCGCCGCTTTCACGTGAAGCCCTTTGAACTCCTCGGTGGTCAGAGTCTGGGCTTTACCATCAGACAAGAAGCCCAATACCGTCGATTTTATGTAGCTTTTCCCTTAGAATAGAGCATATCTTTGGCATACTGCAGATCTAATTGGCATATCATAATGCTAAGTACAAAAAATGCCAAGTTCCAGTAGACCCGTGTCAGAATCTCTCAACAAATGTTACAGATGTGCTCTTCAAAAAGGCAGGCTTGCAGCTGTATTACCTTTCCTCAAACCAAACAGACATAACTTAACCTTATTCCACATCTCTCCATAGACACACATGGAATTTGCGATGAACGACGGAGTCAATAGGACGCACTAGAAATGGTAGAACTGTCACTATTTCATGAGTGTTTTCAAAGGTCTGGTAGTGGAGCTGGTGGTGCAGTGTGAGAAATACAATTTTTCTGGAAAAAGCCGATTATACTTTTTTGCTTTACGGTGTGATACATGTGATATACTTGTGTCGATATGTTGATGGCCCTTTCCTTCAACACCTACTCACTGTTCTGACGATGGTGAACCGCGTCCGTAAATCTGCGTCCAGTAGATCAAAAGGTGTATAGCAATTACAAAGAAAAAATATAAGAAAAAGTGAAAAAAAAAGGGTAAAATAAAAGTATTATGGAAATTATTTGAAAATATACGGCCAACTGGCTCAATACGATCAAGGAATTGGGGGGTTCAGAGAACAGGAATAAATGTCAAAGAGATGCAGAAACGTAACACGGATGTTTCCGAAAAAAAAAAAAATATCAATAAAAGCTTAGAAAAATGAAGAGCACGCAGCTTTGCTTTGTTTAGAGAGGGCCGTCGTCTGTGATACATATTGTTCGACAAATCGTTAACCAGTAGCTAAACAACGACGCAATGGGCAAACGGAGTCATTTGATTGCTTCAGTAGCTGAATAAAGAAGAAAAAGATAAGAACGAAGGAGGAAAGGAAAAAATTCAATGATGATGGCAGATGAAGTTTAACTGAGATCGGCGTGCAGGGATGCAGTACGCGAGGTGTTTAGTATAACCAAAAAGAAGTAGAGGAGTGGTGGTAATATATAGTTGCGGTAGCAGCAACATATGTCTCTTATGAAACGTTTGCATGTAGCGTGCGGGAGGGCACAGGGCCGAGTTAACCCTCTCGGAGGCCCAGGAAATCTAGGACCACAATAATGACGATATCAATACATAATATATATACATATATTGAGATCAAACGTTCAAAGGTTCAAACTATAGGTACTGGTCATAATGATGATAACTATACATACAACAATATTCTATATCAACAAAACCTATGACGACTTACAGAACACAAACGCTAGTTACTAGTTAACGAAACAGAAGGAAGCAAATCAAGAATGATGTAAGAATATAGAAAAATGAAAAGCGGAACATATACGCGGACAGAAGTAAAAGTCTAACCAGGAAGCTAGGGTACGTGAACTAGCAAAAAAGGAAGGCGCAAATGACCTAATTCCACCCAGTGGGTAGTAATAATGGTTTGTCTCGGAACCGCGATTCGCCGCGCCTGCATAGGATTAGGTGTAGGGCTGAGTTGGAGCAAGCGGAAGAAAGAAGGACGAAGATAATTAAGCAAGTTAAGGTTTCGTTCACGTTTTGCCTTAGAAGCGTTTGCCTGAATCGCGAATGATATACAAAACACAACGAGGTCGAGAGAAGGGCAATGAGACGGGGCCGACGAAATGTAGAAGTGGATGAAGAGCAACGAAGACAGAAAAGAAACTACAAAATGACTGATGAGCTGAATAGTGTGCAATGCTATTTTTTGTGACCTTTAATGGCGTTGATGATGGCGGTGATCATGAATGGACTGAGTAGAAACCTACGATAGGAGTAACGAATAGAATAGCTAGAAAACAATAAAAAATAAACTAATTCATGAGTGGCGAGATACACGACAAAAGACAACCGTAGATGCCTAGAAAAAAAGTAATGGTTACTGCTATTATTATTGTGATAATATGAATAAGCGTATGAGATGGAAACTTACGAGGACGAGGTATTAAGAATTATAAAGACGAGTATGAGTGCCAGTAAAGAAGAAGAGAAGCTGACGAGAAGAACGAGTATGTTAGCCAGAATACAGCTGAGATAGCTGCTTTTTCATTACCGAGTCCCGCGACGACGGGGGGCCGAAGCAGTAAACGGACATGAGTACAGATCGCGGACAACGACGTTACTGCTTACGAAAGACCAACAGTGTTGATAGCATTCGGACGAAGAGAAATAGAAGCACCCTTGCATGGTGACGAGAATCATACGGTTACTGTTATCGCTGTTGTTCAATACCCCTGTTTTTGATAGGTCTCACAGTGAGAGCTACGACCCTCTTTTATCCAATACGTGGTCATTCCAATAGTTACGTGTAACTAGATTGATAGATGATTGAAAAAAAAATGCTATACTTCGGTAACTAACTAGCAGTTAAGTCCGTTCTAAAGCTCTTGACTATGATTATGTGTTTAATAACTAGCCCACGATTAAAGAAAACAGCAGGACAACCCTAACGAACCACGTTGACGACATCATCTGCTGTAAGGTAGATAATACAATGAGTCCAGAAACGTCGAACACGAGGTACACGAAAACAAAGTTTGTCTGCAATTGACGTAGGGGATGTTGTACGCCTTATCGTAGCACATTAACACAATTATAATACGAACAGTAAATGCCCCAAAAGAGCTATTTCTTTTCCTTCTATTGGGCCAGTTCTGAAGCTACATGACAGCCAAGAATGATGAGTAATAAACGCGCATTGTGATAAAGTTCACCATTTATTATACACATCCGAAACCGCATTCCTTGCTTGTTGGCCTCTTGTAGAAGTCCTATAGTGAAGAATCAAGTTTTACCCATTAATATTTACCTGTGTTTGTTTTTTTTGTTTTTTTTTTTTGCAACCATGGCATTGCAGAATCGCGCCAAATCTATAATAATTGATAATTTATTTTTAAAATGGTTTAATTATTTACCGTAGTACCGATGGTCTACTTCCGCAAGATGCACATACCTTCTACCATATACACGCATATAACAAACACAGACTCGCTCAGACATGCATGGTAGCAAACAAGGAGACGCATACGAAGATGATCACTAGAAGCAACAAGGGATAGGAGCGACGCGCAGGATTATTGCCTTTTTTGCCACAAGAGTATCCTATGTAGGTTGATAGTAAGGCAACAGGTAATTAATAAAAGTGACAAAGTGTGGACAGGCTGATCAGAAATATGCCTGATGCTAAGAGAGCATAAATCAAAGCGAAGGAACGAAGAGGCGAACGAGTGTCAACCTGATGCCCATTACGATGACGACGACGACGACGACAGGAAATGATAATATTTGTCGACCGCGAGTACCGATTACGATGTATGATTGCATACTCATTGTAGTGCCTTGTTTCGCCCAACCCACCGATGCGGAAAAAACAGCTACGGTCAGACGCCAATAACAACAAAAACAGTATATTACATTAGCAGCCAAAGCTCTAACAACAACAACTGCTATAATATCCACAGGCTATGATGCAGATGTTGCCACTAGTGAAGAGAACCACTATTGCCATAAACAAAAGCCGAACCCTATAACTACAGTTACGTAGCACCTTGCCGAGCAGTGCCAGTATAAGTAAGCGAGCCCTTCATACACTAATGCCGCTTTGACGCTACTCGTATCTTCATTAAATCAAATTAATGGTTTGACCTGAAGAATAGATATACATATAACAATAGATACATCACCTTTTTGTCAACCAAATTGGAAAAAGGACGGCCATTTGAACCACGAATTACAGTATGAGAGCAACAACAACAACAACAGCAGCATCAGCAACAAAAAGAGGAATAAGTGTAAAACGAGCTGCACGAAACACTTGTATTCGAACCTGAAGTGCACAACTTGTAGACATTGATAAGAAGCTGGACCTAACGTGAGTCTGCTATGAGACTGTTGCACAGTCTGACGCTGAATGGAAAAAACCAATTTTAGCTCTAGCTATAACGTATCAATGAATTTACTTATGTAAAGGGCAAACAGTCACATTAAGCCTCGCGGGGTTGACAAGGGGTTTCTGCTATGACCTACGCTAGTCGTCGAGCGAAGACTCGTGACGCTAGGTGAATTTGAAGGACGATGAGTTTCATACGAGTATTGCAGAAGAACGAGTCGCCATTTTTCTCATAGTAGGAACTGTGCAGATACATAACAAGTCAGAAAACCAGTGGCAAAACCGGTACAAAGATAAACAATACTGGTGATGATTGCGGCTAGAGATAGGAAAGCAAGCGGCTGAAAGATGATGAATCCCAGGCGTCAGCGACTCGTCCTTAACGCCAAGAAGAAGAAGAAGAAGCAGCAGCAGCAGCAGCAGCGCATATGCTACAATGTGACACGTAACAACGACGCTCAAAAGCGTACGCAACAAAATCGTAAAAGTACTAAACGAGGCTGTTGCTATAAATAGCAAATTGGCTAACAGCAGACAATAATCGTAGCGGGACGGGCAATGGCGGTAAGTGAAGCAGTGCAAAGATGACGGTCTGCTACGTTTGACGAATGAAATACATCTCTTAGGCCGAATGCTCCATTAAGAATGACAGCAGTTAAAAAGGCAACACTAGGACAATGCCGATGGTGATAATGATCCTTCTCTTTCTGCTGCTGTCGACGATGATGGTTATGTTGATGGAATATCTAGGTAGTACTAAAACGACCCGTGAACGCAAAGTATTAAGAGTGCTGAGTGAGTAGAAGTTACAAAACGAATGGTGTCGAGTACTTACTAACGGAGTGCAAGCAGGAACTGGAAGTTGATGAATGTGAGTAGTAGTATTATAAATTATTAAAGTATTATTAATAGTAATAATCATCATAAGAGGGAATAAATAATGATGACGTAACAACAACAATAATACAGATATAGATGGAACACAGTAACGCGCCCTAAACAAAGCAACGTTGTACCGAACGTTTTTCTTTGTATCGTAACAGCCACATAACGCCCGATATATATATATATATATATATGGCAAGAAAGCGGTGAAGAGATGAGGCCGGTCCGGAATGAAGTAAACATGTTGTGGAGTGAATAAATATGGAATCAATTTGGATACGAGGTATATACATTAAATAAAAAAAATAGTAACTAACAAATAAGTGCACAGGTGTCCCTTCCTCCTACATTAAATAAAAGCGTACTACTACACAAAGGCGATGTGGCAATTATGGTTTCTGCCACCAGCAATGGCGGCCTAAAAGTACTAATATAATACGCTCGAATAGGACTGCTCTTGCCCACAGCATAATATCTAGGTAAGGACTAATATATATATATATATATATATATATATATATATATATATAGTGACACATAAATGGATCCACTGATGGACTGACTGACCGACATGCTGACTAACTGTCATTGTGGAATCTCCTAAAACGATTTACAGTAATTTTTCTATCCTGGAAATTTAGCTTCCTGCAGATATCTAGTTCGTAACAGCCGTTAAGCCTTACTTTTTAGGAATGGAAGCCATATAACAGACCTGATCCCTCTGACAATGTCTGCTATGATAGAGCATAAAAGTCCTGAGCATAATGGTGTAAAAAGCGATCATAAAACAATAAAAAGGTTTACAGTATATGGCGCTCCACTTGGTTAAAAGTGAAACATGGCGCCAATCCCGTAATAGCACCAACTTTAATGATCGCAATTAGTATTTTCATAACAATAACAAACAACAAACATACCAGATATGGATGTCGCAAGAATTTACAAACAAAATAGAGAGGAGCTACGGCTAAGTCGGTCTTCTCCCTTTGCCGCCAAGTAGCACGGCACCCCATCCTCTAAAAAGCTAATCGCTTATCTTTCCCCATAATGAATACAAAAGATTGAGTTTTTTTGACAAGCCTTACCTGTGTAGAACCCTGTTTTTCTTATGATTATTGTACAATAACACAATTTTAATTGCCTAATAAAAATTATTGATTTTTGCCCATAGTAACGGTTTTAACTTTGTAAGTTAGGAGTCACTTTCTAGATAAAGCTGCCCTGCTAGGAACAATTTATGCTTTATGGTGAAGGCATGAGGGCCGGGCTAGCTTCGCCCGTCACCCGCAACAGCACTCCGGACAAACTCATCGTGAGAGAAAATCTGTCGTTAACCTAATGGTTTACAACACACACAAAGCTTCGAGTAGTTTTCAGTACATATATATATATATATATATATATATGTGTGTGTGCCGAAAACACTGCTTTAATCCCAGCGTATTTGTACAATGGCAAGTTGATTAGCATAAGATAATTGTTATTACGATGAGTATTGTCGCAAGGGCCAAGAAATTACTAAATAACAATCAGTACATGACAATAACTGAAGTGCGTTGTACATTAAAAACAAATGCAGGATTTTTCAGGCCTGCAAGCTAGGCAACCTAGAAACTGAAGATGAGACTAAGCAATCGCGTAAATGGAGGGGCGGATACATTTTAAGTATAACTTTAGTAAGTTATAGTGGACAAATAAAATATTAACAGAAAAATAATGTAAGTCGGGGTCACATTCACAGTACCAGAGATTACGCGCTTATAAGTGATTGTACTTTCGGTCCAGAAGAGTGTTTCAGAGAGCCCCACAGCAAAGAGTGCGAGTTGCGATGGGAATGAATAAAGTGACTGAGAAAAGGAAAGAGAGCACTGAGCCAGAACAAAGCACGACGGAATAGACGCTAGATAAATGCATGATAACTAGATAAGAGAATTTTAATGTCAGCGTGGCCAGTTTGATAAGTCAAGAGTTCTATATATTCAAGGAAGGACAAGTAATGTATGTGTGTCATTGAAAAAAATGCTTTTTAAAACACGAAAGGTGATCAGCGATAAAACACGAAAAAAATGTTGTCCTAAGGACGCGCGACACGTAACTGGCTCCGATCCAATTGAACGACTATACAATATATATCCCAGCTTTAAGTTTATTATTGCGGCAATCGCAGTAAAACTGTATACGTGCCACTGCTCGTACTTGTTTATTAATTACTACTCCTAACGTTAGTGTTTCTGGTCGGGTTCTTTGATAAAATTGGCGTCAGCTCTTAAATCCTTTCCATAAAAATCTCTGATCTTGCAACAGGCCTTAGATACCTACATATTAGGCCGGATCACAAGTCGTTCATGTTTACTAATAATCGACCACCATGAGGGACGGTCGAGGAATTTACAGCAGTCAGTCGGTCTGTCTGTCAGTTGAATGAAACAGTTAGAGATGATGATGATGATGTTGATGAGACGAGTTCTAGAAAACAACCGCGCGTTGCGATCGTACCATGATATGTTGAGTGATGTACCCCGCTAGACGGGGTGTGCCGTAAGGCTTCGTTCATAAGGCGAGCGGCTCAATTCGAGCTTTCAGCCACTCCATCGTTACAAACACATTCACTAGTATGGGATTGAGGCCTGCCGACGTGCAACAGGTACAACAGAAATGCATCCCCAATCCAAATCACAGCTAACTTCTGCGTAAATATTGTATCAATTCAAACAATTAACAATTTACAGAAGCATTAACGGCGGATAAGGTCCTATGGCTGACGGTGAAGTTACTGGGAAAGCTTTGGATTGAGCACGTTAATTCGTTTTCTGAACACAGCCTGCGCGAAGCGTGTTCCCTACAAAGGCAGTCTAGTTGTTACAGCGGGGGGCCACCATATCTGTTGTAGAGGTCTTTTCCGCTATATTTCCATTATTCGGTGGATATTGCACAGAGACGTTATCTAAATACATTTCCGCGTTTTTAAGCTGCGGTGGAAGACTTGCGG